AGGGAGGGAGGGAGGGAGGGAGGGAGGGAGGGAGGGACTGAAGTGGAGGCAAATTGCTTTTTGCCATTGGTGGATGATGAGGGTTGAGTTTGCTGGCCAGCCAATTTCTATAGAGTGGGCGGTTGGGCCTGTGCTGCGTGGTTGGATGAGTGAGAGAGTGGGTGGTTAAGTGGGGTGGGTAAGTGAGTGAGTGAAGGGAGAGAGGGAAGGATGACGGGAGATGCTGTGATGTCCAGCATCTGATCTGCCATGGTAGTTCTGCAACTCTGAGCGTACTGGTGATGCAATTACCCTACGTACCTGGTGAGTTGAGTTGTGAGGCCTTTTGCAAGAGGACATAGAAGAGAGTGCATTCAACTGTGCGAGACCCACCAGTCCTTGTTAAACCTTCAAAATGTGTGCGTTCTCGCCTTTGAGAGATTTGTCTGAGAGGGGACGGGACAGAGAAAAACTGGAGCCGAGGGAGGCAAAGGTGGGAGGAGAACCCAAGTGGAGAATGGAGGAGAGGCTGTTGGTGGTTGGAGACGTACTTCTGCACTATGTACGAATATGATACAGCTCGTTATTACCATTTTTTATTCCCATGCTGGTATATAGACTCTATACAAATGGCCATGGCTTTAGATCGGAGTTCCACAGCACCTCATAGATCAGATATGGAATGGACGTCCAGATGTCATCCAGACCCTCCGGTCAAACTGGTGAGCAGGTATAAGACTGGCGTCACCATGATTTTTCTTTTTCCGTTCTATGGAGTTACCGTTGTTGGACAAATGCAAGGATATGGCAATAAACTTGGCAATACTTGTCACAAGCCTCATCAATTTTCCCTTTGACGATGCTTCTCAGATGGACACAAGGCCAAATTAAACCCTCTCACACTCAAAGCACACGACCCACTCAAGCATCTGGCAATTCATTCAAGTGCGTTCCCCTCACCCCCCCACATTCAAATGCACATTACCCGCTAGATGCCCACTGGAAAGGGAGATTCAGAAAACCCTAAGATTCACGTGCACACGATTCACTTGATGCCCACGACAAAGGGAGACAAGAAGACCCGCTCATATTCACGTGGACAACCCAGTTGATGCCCACCAGGAAGCGAGACAAGAGAACAAGACAGATTAGGCAGAATCAGTTGCAGGACGATAAATTCAGAACATGTGTGAGAGGTATTTGTGCAATTATACTGCTATATAATAGTCTGACAATGACTGGCATAGGGAAGGAATAGGGAGATGTGTACCCAAGCCATATGGCTGAACAGTACACGCCTAACTGTTAGCAAACAGGACATGAGTTTGAAATTTGAATCCTGACGGAATCAGATGGACACAATGGAGTTGTTGCCGAACCCCTTTATAAAAAAATTAGGAAAAGAACAAAAAGGGGGGGCGGGCTGAGGCAAACTTTCATAATGGACTGATGGGTGCACTCACATACATTCACACTGAGGACGAGTTGTGCTAACACCGCAACAAGGTGTCCGCTATTTTGGCCCACATTCTTCTCTGTAGCGTGTTTGCAATGCTCACCAGCACCAGCACCTTCTTGCACTGTAAACTGCCTGTCCTTCTCTCCTTTGATGGATTTGCTGAGGATGCTTTTGTCATATCTCATGGTTGATCCATGTTCTGAACTTCCTTGCATTTTTGCAAAATGAGGCCTTCCTCTGGTCTTCCTGATCAAACCAGAAGGCGGACACTCCTTCAGAAGACTCTGGATTAGAACCAGAGTCCTTTCTGCAAGTCCAGAAGGGATATATGGATGGCTGTATATCTGCTGGGCACAGTCTTGAACAACCTGCGAAAAATGATAAAAAATCATTCAAGAATCAAAATGAAAATAATTTTTACTAACTTCGGTGAGATTTTCGGGAAAAGAAAAAAGATAGAACTCGAACTTCCACAGTCATGGATCATTTCAAAAGCCCAAAGTTCAAACACAGGCATGAAATTGAAAGAATAATTATTTTTCAAATTTTCAGCACATAGAGTTCGTGTAAACACTGTAAACAGTGTAAAGTTTAAACTTTAAACCTACTTTTGAGTACCCCTTTTATTTATACTCCTGGACATCCCACAAACGAAAGGCCGACCCAATAGTTTTCTAGAAGGGGGGCCACAGTAGCAAAGGACAAACCTTCACTTACGACAGCCATCACCGATGTTTTGCCTTGTTGCCAACCCACTTGCAATCAACCGCCAACCCATTTTTCGCCGATCCATATGCAGATGCAGCAAGCCAACAATCTGTTTTTTGCCGACCCACATGGAGACGCTGAACCGTCTTTTTCACTCAGCACATCAAAAGGCCTAATGATGAAGGAAAGCATTCAGCAAGGAGAGAGCATTAGCGAAAGAACATGCCAGGCAAAGGGAGAGCAGGCGCGAATGGACTGGCACAAGGAACTTCGAGGCAACTTTTTCGGCCGCAGCAGCATAGAACGAAGGAGGTCTTCACCTTACTTGGTCACACCGTGTGGCAAGCAAGGAAAACCTTTTAACCACCTGTCCAAGCCCATCAGCAACCAGTGGAACTTGAAAGACATCCCAACCAAGGAGCCTTTCTTTTTTTTTCTTTTTTTTATAATAAAAAAGTTGTCCGCGCCTTATATAGGGGACAGCCTTTTTATGCCCTAAGCTACTCTCTTCTCTCAATATAGAGACAACCTCACGCTAACTACCCACCAAGCACCCAGGAGTTCTATTGCTGTATTTTCTGTATAAGATGGACGCTGAGAGTTCCCCAAGTCCCCATAGGGTTGAGCCAAGTCCCTCCGGGTTTAGTCCTGCTTGTACTCAGTGCCCGGAATACTACATACGCTCATGACCCCTATTGCAGGATGACAGGACCTTGTGCGGCACAGGGGCGTGGGGGATCGAAAATGGATGATGTGGGGAATCGAACAAAGACCTCCTGAATGGCACTTATGTGCTATACCCACTGAGCTAGGCTGCTGGCCCCCAAGGAGCCTTTCTCTCTTTCATGGAAAGGGGAAAACCCATCAACAAAGTTGTATCCATCTGATCCTGTCAGCATTTGATTTCATTACTCTGTTTACCGAGTGCTACATGTGCACGTACTCTATACCATCCCACAGAGGAACTTACTGAAAAATATTTCCAAATCCAACACTACATATAGGAAGGCGAAAAAGGCAAAAAACAACTTTCTGTAGAGTTGTAACCCACGTATTAAAATGCGTTCACAACCTCTGGACCTCGTCCAGCCTACCGTTTTCCCCCAAATAGAACGTACAGTCATTACGCCCCTATATATGGGGCAACTTTCAGTCTAGATACGGTGATATTATCGCGCATTCTATTCGGGGGGAAGATGGTAGTCATGTCCGCTACCAAGCGATAGCACAAACTTACTACGAAGCGAGAAACGCCGACATATTGACCCATCTTTAGCAGCCTTTCTTTGCTTTCTGCAAGGTCCAAATCCCTACCATTCTGGAGCAAACCTGCATGGCCTACCGTCTTCACCCTAATAGATCGCCCGGTGATTATAGCTGTATCTGGATTCTGGACTGGGAATTGCATCAAATACGGCTATAATGACCGGGCATTCTATTCAGGTGAAGACGGTAGTGCCCGCTACCAAGCAATGCCCCAGCCTACTGCAATGACTTGCTGATTTCTGCTGCCGAAATTAACAGCGAGGCTGTACACTAACCCGGTAGGTTAGATTCGTAATTTTGTTTGGCTGAGGGCTAACCGAGAGACCTGCCTGTAGGGAAATTCTTGAGGGACAGATCTGTAAATCTGGGAAAATATAGGCCCAGTACTAACCTGAATTCCTACAGCTACCCTAACTGCTGATAGCAGGCCCGGGCTACCCCTAGGACAGACAGGCCCTAAGCGGCCTATGCTGCTAGACGGTCCTATAGCCTATAGCCGGGTCCGGTAGAGGCCGAGAGGCCGAAATAGCAACAGTACCGGTCGGTCAGTCAGTCCGGTCTAAGTCCTAGTAGTCTATAGATAGGTTAGGCCCATCGGTTCAGGACTTTTTGGCAGTTCATTTCTCGCGAACAGCGTTGGAGAAGCCAAGCCAGTTGGTGGCGGTACCTGTCTACCGGCGGCATCCTGAGACAGACCGCAACGGCGGCCATAGCCGGCCCTCTCTGAGCTTGCCACAGTTGGGGCACCCTCAGCGCATCTACCCCTGGGGGTATCTGCGTATGGCCGGGCTACGTTGAGGCTCTACACTGAGTGGTTCGTGGGTGGTGGCAGCCATAGCTGCCTGTTCCTTCGTCAGAGTTGTCCATCGGCACTGAAGACTTCATCGCAGGACCTGTTCTTCATCAGGGTGGTTGGCGCTGGCCTCTGAGAGGCTGTTCAGATGCAGCGCTGCTAACTGGGTGTAGGATAGAGAGTGGGGTGTGAGTTCTGAGTGTGGCGAGATACTGGAACAAACTCTGTTACGATAATTGTGTGAGTGGTTCAGCATCAGTGACAGTTTCAATTGTGATCTTCGCAGGTTCTTTCTTGTGATTGGTTGTTGGGAGTTGTGTCAGAGAGCGAGAAACACTGTGTGTCTTCTCCCCTGCTGTGCATAATTGTCTTCCGCTGTTTATCTTCACCTGTGTGCAGTGTGGACTTTGTCTCCTCTCTCCCCATCTCTTGTGCATGTATGGGCATGTATGAGACTGTCTGTGTGTGAGTGGCGAGAAAATTCGTCAAACAACCAAGATCATAACACTACCGTCTTCCCCCGAACATGAAGCATATGCGTTGTATTCCAGTTTTCAAAAATAAATGATGATTCAAATAGAACGCATATGCATTGCATTTGAATACACCAGCCGTTCGAATAGAAGACAACCTATGCGTTGTATTCATTAACACATATGGGTTATGTTCGGGGGAAGACGGTAGTCATGTCGGCTACTGCGCAATTGTACAAACTGTGGCACCTGCTCGTGCGCCCTACCAGCGGCAGTTTCCCTTTTTTTTTTTTTTTTTTTGGCTATTTTTGTAGATACAGAAGAGCGCAACACCTAAGGAACTGATCTTCTTCAAGTACAGTCGTACAGATTTTTCTTTCTGTCCAATTGGGCATCAGAAATACCCTCAAAAAGGTGCCCAGGACGTCAGTCTTGACCTTTAGGTAGTGGCATTACCCTCCCAGTAGTTCCCCCCCCCCCCCCCCCCCCCCTTGCACGATGAATCTTTAAAGGGAATGCAGGTGACCATTGACCCAGCCATGCGACCCCTGTTTTTTTTTCTGAGTCACTGAGTGAATATTTCCCCCGTGCGCCGCACCGCGAGGGTCCGCTCGTGCGCCAAACGTGCGGAATTTTCCGCACGGCGTCCACTTGCATCTTTGATC